AGCGTTCGGGAAGCTACGCAGTGTATTCTCGGAACATCTACCGCAGTGTCTCAAGACAAAAGTCTTTAATTCGTGCGTGTTGCCAGTGATGACTTACGGTGCTGAGACGTGGCCGCTTACGATGGGCCTCATAAGGAAGCTCAAGGTCGCTCAGAGGGCAATGGAAAGGGCTATGCTCGGGGTTTCTTTGCGAGATCGAATTAGAAATGATGAGATCCGCAGAAGAACTAAAGTCACCGACATAGCCCACAGAATTGCAAACCTCAAGTGGCAGTGGGCAGGGCACATCGCTCGCAGGACTGACGGCCGTTGGGGCGGTAAGGTCCTGGAGTGGCGACCGCGTACCGGGAGACGCAGTGTTGGCAGGCCCCCCACAAGGTGGACCGACGATCTGGTGAAGGTCGCGGGAAGCCGCTGGATGCGGGAAGCGCAGGACCGATCGTTTTGGAGATCTTTGGGGGAGGCCTATGCCCAGCAGTGGGCGTCTCTCGGCTGAAATGATGATGATGATATTATTTGCTCGGCTAATTATCTGACAAGGCTCAAATCGCATTTTCAGGTATTTCCCCAGACGGAGAAAATTATAAGATTATTTTCGATTCACTTATAGGAAAATATGAAGATAAACGTATGTTAGCTTCCGCTTATATAAATAAAATGTATGAACATAAATCATTTAACAACGCATTTGTTAATAATTTCGAGTCTTTTACAAATAATTTTGTTTCAGCCGCGACCGCATAAAAAAATCATAAAATCGATAATCTTGCAGATTTTATATATTTCATATTGTTATGAAAAACATTGATCTGAAACCGCTCGACTTTTTGAAATGAGTTGCTTGGATAAAAAATACTTGGATAAACTGAATTGGATTCCGTGTCTGTGTGAAATTAATAGTAATGCATTTAGATGTATTAAAAAACAAGTTGTTGTCCTTGCTCCAAGTTAAGGGACGTTAGTTAAGGGAGTTAAGTGTAAGGGACCAATGGAGTAACTCTGGTAACTCTGACAGTGAAGATAGTGACTAGTATTATTTAATGTAATTGTTAATTTATTGACCTGTTTTATTTATGATTTACCTAGGTATTTTATGTGTGGTAAATTTTAATTATTTTAATAATGAATGTAAATTGTTAATTTTATTCATTTTTTTTGTAATGTGTGATAATTGTAACTGATGTACGTCGTTTTTATCGCAATAATAAATAAATAAATAAAATTAAAAAAAAGTTACTACCCTATCTATATCCTTCTGCAATCGGTCACAGCCTGATATATCTTATATGGATAGATACATTTTTAGGTCGTCTGCGAATAATAAGCATTATGAGAAATTGAAGAGGACCAAGGTTACTGGCCTGACTTACCCCTGACGTTACATAGAAAAATACCTAAGTTCGATAGTTTAGTACACTTTTTAGAGAACAATATCGTATATTGCAAAAAACTAAAACCTTTAATAATTCAAGTTCCGCTAATCAATTAATAATTTAAAAATCGCATAATTTAGATAAACCTTTTAAAATTCTCCAGCCTCAATCTTACACGATTTTAGATAAACCTAAAAAATATTTATGTAATAATTTTACACATGATCATTTTTATAAATGTCGCCTGGCGATCGCTTTAAGTCCGTCAAGGAAAACGGAGTATATATTAATTGTTTGAGTATAAAACATCGCGATAGTCAGTGTAACTCTAATATTTAATGTAAAATCTATTTTAATAAACATCATACACTTTTACACTTTAATAAATTACATCACTCGTTCTAACGGTTCACATTCGAGTACCTCACAGAGACTGCGTGCATGGGCTCCTGTTGCTTCTCCTCTCGCGCCACGTTCGAGACAACTGGGCACCGATAAGGATAATATGAACGCGTCCATTGCCTCGTCGCTTTCGAGCGCTTATGATTCTCGCGCGTATGTGCAATAATGTAACGCAAATTTTACTGTGTTATTGTCGACCGCTGTAGTTATTGTTCGTGATGCACTCAATAATGAACATGAGGTACGTTGTTTGTTAGATAACGGTTCTCAAATAAACTTAATTACCGCAGACTGATGCAAATGCTTAAATTTGAATAAATCCACCTCTGATATGATTGGTGGTGTAGAAAAACCTGTAAAGGGTCTTGTACATTTCTAATTTCACTCTCGCTTTAAACCGCACGTTAAATTTAACGTTAATTCGCTAGTTCTCGATGACATAACCGACAAACTTCCAACCGCATCTGTCGATACTTCTGTTTCCACGTTTACAGGGTTTGCCGCTCGCCGATTCTTCGTTCAGCATCCCTTGCTTGTTGATAGGGGCTTCGCTTTTTCCGCATCTGTTGCTAAAAATGTGGTTAATAGCCACTCCTCCGCGCCGCTTGCTATACAAACCGTACTCGGTTACATAATTATGGGAAATGTTCCCGCGTTACCTTCACGTCCTAAAAATAAAATTTCGCTGCTTGTTCTTCTCCAATTTCACCTCCGTCCGATGGAGACTTGATAGAAATAATCTTTAAAAAATTCTGGCAAGTCGATGAAGCTTCCGACGCCTAAATCGCTCGACGATCTCGAGTGTGAGAATTTCTATTTGGCTACTACCGTCCGAGATAAAGAGACCGGTAGATTTACCGTGGCTTTACCGTTTCGCACCGACGTGTTTCCTCTAGAAAAATTCCTATGATATCTCAAAGAGACATTTTTTCTCCCTCGAAAGAAAATAAGAATCTTCAAACGAGTTACGCGTTGCCTACGATAAAGTTATTCGTGAATATTTAGATAAAGGTTATTTATCTATCTCCCGCATCGGTCGATAGTTCAAATGATATTCTTCCTATGTATTCCTACTATGTTGATTCGTATCATGCAGTTATGTTTATACTTTGGTTATATGCTTAGATAAAACTGCAAGTGTATGAAACTTAATCGCCACGCCGTCGGTTTTTCTTAATACATTTTTACTGAAGCTACCGAGGCGTTTTATTACGCCCATAACAGCGTCTAAGTGTTTTGGATGAGACAGGCCAAATAAACAAGTCTATCACACTTGCTGGAACCCATCTACCCACCTACAATTTTAATGTTCTTGCAATTCTGTGTTGCGATGCGACTTATATGGATTGAAAACATTTGTTAATAAAGGGAACAAAAATAAAAGATTTTCTTAATCGTGGTTGACTGTGCTCAATCTCTTTGCCTTAAAAAAAAAACAATAACGACTGTTGGCTAGTGATGCGAGCTTTATAAAAATATCGATATATTGAAATCTTTATATATAGATTTCAATTGATATCGATATGTCACTTCACTAAACTAATACATTGATATTTAGTCGATATTTTTGTGTCTTCTGTAAACACTTTAGGTCTTGTTTGTTAATCCTAATGTAAATAAAATTCATTTTATTATTGTTGTTAATTTGGGTGTCAAATAAAATCTTATTCCATTCCGGTTCCATGCGATTCTTGAAGTCTCTGCAAGATTTCAATAATTTGATAGGAATTTCGTCCTATCCAGAAGCACATGTTGAGTCAAAGCTTAAAGTATATCACTGGCTTCCTGGTTATCAATATCGAGTAATGCAAATGATGAAGCGTGAATGCCAACATTAACAAAAAACTGATTAACACGATTTATTGCATAAAGTTGTTTAGCAGATTGTGTAAAGATTTATATAGCTAAAAGTTTTGATTGTTTTAATTTGAGTTATCTCATTTACCGTACTACATAACTTTTTTGAATTTTGTGCCGTTTCTACTATTTCATTTCTATTATATTATTGACTATTTAGCTTATAAATAAGATTTACACAATAATTACGATATCATTTGAAGATAATTTTTAACATATGATTTTGCGGTTCTGCCCAAAGTTTCAATGAGGAAGTATTTTAAGAAAAAAAAAGCACTAATAAGCTCCTCACTAGATGGTGATTTCTATACCACTTCAGAGTGTATTATTTCCTGTAGTATTTACGAAGTTTAAATTAAAGTCAGGGTAATTAAATGATAATATGAGATGAAGTTTTAATTTCCTATGGTATGGTAACAAAGTTTCTCTGTACGGTATCGTCTCGCTGAGAGGGGTACTAATTGATAACTGTTTACCTACCCTACATGTTATAATAAAAATATGGTAGTGCGAAATGGCGCTAGTCTACGCGGGATCTTCCGTCTCACTCTAACCACATAAATACGTCGTGCAAGATCGCGGCGTGCCTTGGTATAATTACGAACTACGAAAGTGCCGTCTTGCACAATAGAATAAGTGTTATGTATGAATGTTTAGTATAGTAAATAACGATGTTATAATGTAAATAAGTAAGACAATAAAATAATTGTTAGAATCGCATAGATGTTAAGAGTGGGGGGTGACTGCAAAGTAGGGAAACAATGTATGATATGATAATAAACTGCTTAATTAATAGCGCACGTGCAGGACTATTAAACTACGAGCTAAGCTACGCTAAGCAAAAGCAACGAGACAGCAATTATATCAGCCGTCTGTTTCGCGTCATTTGTGGCGGTCGCGGACAGCTTGTCTTAAGGTTTCAGGGGGCGCATTGTCCATCCACAAATCACACAAAAATGGGTCCTATTAAAGAACTACGCAGCACACTATCACTCACGATACAGGCACTATTATTTCTAGAATTATTCGAGGATATTGATTTCACTGTTTCTATAAAATTTATACATATCGATATTTATGGGCGTTGATATATCGATATGTATAGGTTTTCCTGTATAGTGAAAATATTATCATAATCAAAATATCAAAATATTTACGAAACGACGAAACGTCACAAGTCAATGTCAAACTGCGCAGTTTGACATTGACTTGTGACGTTTCGTCGTTTCGTAAATATTTTGATTTCTTAGCTTTTCTGCTAACTTAAAAAGTGTCGACAAGTAAACCAGTTCGATAAATTACTTGTTGACATAAGCAAAAACAAATTAAATTAATTCTCTGTAATTGAAGTCGGTTCTCATTTCAAATATGGACGAAGACGATTATTGGAATTCTAGCGAAACCAAATCGCAGGCTTTCAGTTTTGATGATGATGTTGTGAGTTTTTTATTTAGTCACTAGCTGTTTTCCCGCGACTTCGCACGCGTACAATATAGCCTATGACAATCCTCTATGATTTAGCTACCCGTAGGTGAAATAATTTTTTAAATCGGTTCAGAAGTTTCGGAGCCTATTCGATGCAAACAAACATACAATAAAATATTTCCTTTTTCTATTGTATTGATATTATATGCACAATATTAACTATGTAGGAAATTTTACTGACAAGGAATTCAATACAATGTTGTTTCACTTTTCCAGCTTTCTCCTCAAGAAATACTTGCTATTGGCCAGAAACCATCTCATGGACAAAAGGTGGATAATATTTTCGCTAGCACTAGTGTTAGTACTGCCAAAAACTTGCTGCCAATAAGTAGTTTAGTATCTCCAAAAGTGTTGGATTTAAGTGAGTTATGATTTATGTACAAGTTACCCTTATTTAGATGGATTCTAAGAAGTATTAATCTTTGAAAGCTAGAAACACTTTAAATTCTTGGATCAGGCTGAAGGAGTACAGCAACTCTGGTTTTTGATTTAAAATAGATCCATAGGTTGCAGTAATAAAATTTCCTTATGAAACTGCACTGTTCAAAAATATTAAAATAATTGCATTTAGAATAAATTTGTGTTATTACATAGTAAAATATATTTACTTAAATAAAGTAACTGTACATAATGACATGCCAAAAAGATGTTGAGTGTTCTGTTGATGTAAAATAATGAAAAAATAAGAAGTAAGTAAGAATTGCAACTCTTTTTGCTATTGATTCAGTTATCTAAAGGCTATCTCATTAATACATAAGTACAGTTATTATATGTATAATTCAGTTGATTGTCTTGTTTGAGTCCAACATGGTAACTGAATTATGAATAAACATTATTTTTCTAGTTCTCTTAGCGCAGTCTGGTAAAGATCCAACAAAAGAAGTAAAAGTCAGCTGTGAGCAAACTGTTGCAGTGACATTGAAAAGGCTTGTGCTTGGTAGGAATTGTTCATTACATTTGCACAGAAGCTTGAAGAGCAAGACGGAATTGTTGGACGGTGCCATTGCTATTGGAGATGGCAATGCTATCTTAACAGTTAGTATTTTGTTTTGCTCTATAAGTAGAGTTAGATAAGATTCAAGTCTTTTAGGTTTAAATTTAAAGCTTTGAGTCCTTTTTGAGCATGTCTTACATGCTCATAAAATAGGCCTACTGAGAGTTCCTTACTAAAAAAAGGGCTAGAGTCTTTTTTAACTTAGGCCTTTTTTAAAGTTCAAGCTGTTTTGGAAGGCTGGAGTCGTAATTGAAGCTTTAGCTTGTTGTAATTAAAAAAAAGCCTAGTTGGGATATATCAGATCAGGTTATATAGAAATACAAGATATTATTGATTAAAGTATTTTTTTCATTTATTGTGAAAATGATAATAAATAATAATGATAATAATGAGATGGTATACCGGAAATATATTTTATAAATGTGACTATTTTTTAAATCGTTACATAATAAATATAAAGCTTACTCTTTTTTGTTCCTGTATCATTCACTACATTTTTTTATATCTCATGACCGATCCAAAGAGCAGAAGGAAGGAGCCAAAAGCCTTTTTTTAACATACCTTGAGGGCTTAAAGCCTATTTAGCCTTTTAGCTCTGTCAATAAGACTGCGAGTTTAAAAAGGAAACTAAACTAAAAAAGGCTTGAGCCTTTTTATCACTAGCCAAAAGCCTTTTTTAAAATAAACCTCGAGGGCTTAAAACCTATTTAGCCTTCTAGCCCTATCAATTAGGCTGCAAGTCTAAAAAAAAGGCTCAAAGACTCGAGTCCTTTCTATCACTATTTATAAGTATGTTTAAGATATTACTAGGTTTCTGTTGTGTATATGCTTAGAATAATCAACTGGCTTGCATGTATACTAGTAAACAAGTGTTTCTGGTATTATTAATTTAATTGGACAAGATATAAATACACTGTTTATAAATAAAATTTAAATATTAATATTTGGCAACTTTACAAACTATCCTTTTTAGACAGAGCCCTGTGTCACTAAAATCAAAGATACCCAGCAATATTTAAATAGTAATTTCACCTGATCCTCTTATCTTGTCATCTAATTTTCGATTGGGTTTTGAATTAATTTACAATAATTATAAAGTGTTGAAAAAATATATGACAAATAGGACTTAAATCTTGTTCTATCATGTCGCAATATAATGTGACTCACAGCATAAGAATATGTGGCTATGCCATTGAGAGTAAGCATTAACATGAAACACATGTGTAATTTTTTACTCCACATGATTTATTACATTAACCACTAGAGATACACTGAATAACTAAATACAATTCAGTTTAACCTTTATCAAACCGGATATTTGACCGAAAAGGGATTACAACTAATTTTTGTTTGTTTGTCCGTCAGGTAGAGTGTTAAAAAATATTAAACACGTATTCTTTTTTCTCGTAATCATAAAATTACGGCGTTACATTGAGTTGAAATTTCGCATGACGTCACGTTATGGTACGTTTTCTACTCAACTGTGACGTAGCTAGCCCCCACTCCTCAACTTTAATGCCTGTTATCCAAGCTATTTCTTGTTAAATTAAAATAAAAAGAATACGTATCTAAGGGGGCGTCCATAAATTACGTGAGATGTTTAAGGGGGGGAGGGGGTCGAGGCAAATCTCATCTAATCTTACGTTGGAGAGAGGGGGGTCTCGGCAAATATCACGCAATTTTTTTTCTGATTGAATAAAAAAAAATATACTATTTTGGTCCATTTAATCCAGATTGTACATGCTTAAGATTTAATCTTAAGCGTAATCGTATACGATTAAGATCATTCACTAATTCGTTCAAAAGAAAATAATTTCATTCATGTCACTGAATGTCAAACCACCATATTTGTAGGGTTCGAACGATACTTTCGACACCGCGTAGGTATCGATACTTTCAAAAGTGATACTCGATACTGTGTACTCGATACTACAACAAGGCAAATACTCGCAAGTACTCATCAAATTGCATTTTGAAAAATCTCACGTGAGATTGGGGATGGGGGAGGGAGTTGAATAAATTCTCACGACATCTCACCTACAGAAAATTTAAAAAACACCTCACGTAATTTATGGACGCCCCCTAATATTTTTCTATTATCTGACTGACGGACTAAATAGAATTGCATTTTTTTACCCAGTCGTCATCCCTATTACTGGGTTTACTATTTCACTGTTTTACAAACGTTAATTTGAAGTTAAATTGATTTATTTTATTATATTTACCAAACAAATTCTTCTCCAGATATTTCTTTGTTATATAAATGATAATGATAAAATAAATCTTACATTATAAGTTTTGTCTTTAAGTACTTATACCCTGTTGTTTACTCAAGAAAATACAAATACTCGAATTGAATATATTCGGCACCAAAACCAAATAATTAGGCTGAATACAATTAGTGACTAAGATGCCGTATACGCCGAATACTAAGCGAATATTCGGTGCATCTCTTGTGACCATTGAATTTCCCTTTGTTTTGTAGATATCATAATACAGTTTATGCCCTTTTGTATTTTTAACAGAATTATTTATCATCATTAACCTATTAATGTGCCCATTGATTGGACACAGTCTTAGGTCACGAGACAATGGATGGAATTGAATAGTGAGAATAAGCTATGAACCACCACATGGACCCAGTGTCAGAGTTGGGCGTAATCAACTACTTTTGTAATCGGATTAATAATCTGATTAAAAATAATTATGATTACTTTTAGTCAGATTGAAATAATCATGATTACTTGTAATCAAAACTACACATGTAATCTTTAATCTTGATTACAGTAGTTAGTAATCAAAATTAGGTGATTATTGTTGGCTTGAATTATAATTTAGGTATTCATTGATATTACAAGATGCACGGCAGGTAACGGTGCGGTGTGCGGGGGAGGGGGTATTGTATGTCTGCCGGCGAGCCAATCACTGCGTACTTTTTGACAACACGCGATTGCGTCACATGTTCTTTTGTTCAATGCGTAGCAGTCATACTTATTGAGCGCAAGGAGACAAACGTTATTTTATCTTAATAAATAAAAGAAATACCAAGTGCAAGCTTGTTGAAGATTATCGCGTGTGAAATGGCGTCAACGTCGAGTTCTTTTTCATCTTTAGGTAATTTAAGTAATTTTGACTCGGAAAATGGACAGAATGAACGTACGACAGAGACATTACCATGCATCCTTGATGGTAATTTTTTTATTTATTGTAAAACTGAGTCCACAATTACAAAAAAAGTTGCAATTTGCGTAAATTGTCAACCAAAAGAAGTAAAAATTTGCGGTTTTAACAATTCAACATCAAATTTTGTTACTCATATAAAACGAAAACACGGAGAAGACGTATTCAAGGAATATCAGAGTCACTTGAAACTGGCAAAAAAAAACAGTCGAAATTCGAGAACATCCAAAGGCCGTGAATTAGAAATTACGGATAGTACCAATGAACCTGATCAGTCGATTTCACAAGACCAATTTAATGTAAATATTTTGGAGTTTTTCATCCATTCCATGATTCCACTACAAGCCATAGATGATCCATTCTTCAAGAAAATATTTGATAGTTTAAGTATTAGCAAAAAAGGACTAAATGTCATCAGCAGGAGAACTTTGGGGCGCTTGATCGATGACTATTATATAAAGGAAATCACAAAGATCAAAGATGAATTGCTCAATATAAAGGAAGTCTGCACAACTGCTGATATTTGGTCGGCAAAAACTCGAAGTTTTCTGGGCGTCACGGTACACTGGCTTGACTCGAACTTGGAAAGGAAATCTAAAACGCTGGCATGTCGAAGATTTTCAGGTACGCACAGCTATGACCGAATAGCTCTTTTACTTGAAGCAGTACATTCTGAGTTTGGTCTGGACTCTCGGAAAGTTCTAAGCACGGTCACTGATAATGGCAGTAATTTCGTCAAAGCGTTTAAAGAGTTCGGCGTAGACATAGATAGTGAGAAATTTGATGATTTGACAGAATCGGAAGAAAATTCTATTGTCGTCGAAGATTTTCACTCTGAGATCAGTCCTTTATCAGACTTCAATACTCAAAATAGTGTTGATCCTTTAGCTTTTCTTGAAAATAATACCCTACAGTCTACGAGACTAGAATTGCCCATTCATTTGAGATGTTCTGCCCACAAGCTTAATCTGTGTGCCACTACTGATGCCAATAAAGTGTTAAGGAATAACGAAACAACTATTGTCGATATTCATAACCAAGTTATTAGGAAATGCAACAATTTGTGGAACGCTGCCGGTCGTCCTAAATCAGCTGAAATAATTCATAGCATTGTTGGCCATACACTTTACAAACCAGGAGTTACTAGATGGAACAGCCTTTATGATGCACTAAAACAAATTGCTCTGATAGAAGATAAGAGTATACAGTTGTACGTGGCATTGGGACTAACTAACGTTTTACGTGCCGAAGATTTCCAATATATAAATGAATACTTGCGTTGTTCAAAACCAATAGCAGAAGCCTTGGATATAATACAAGGCGAACAAGATATGTATTACGGTATTTTACTGCCATGTTTAGTATCTTTGCGCAAAAAATTACAAAAACTCAATAAAGAATCATTTGCATTTTGCAAAAAGTTAGCAGAGAAATATTTAGAAAGCGTAGAAGAGCGATTTCTTGAGTTTTTTATTGTCTCCTCGAAGGTGGCTCAAAATGCTGCAATTGCTACCATGTCTTATCCTAGATTTAAGGATAAATGGTTGGCTTGTTTGAATGTACAATATCATTCCAAAGTAAAATCAATTTTCAAGACAGCTGTTGTCAAAGAAATTCACGAGGCACCTGAAACACTTCAAGAGACTCCAAAAAACAAATACGAAGACAGCTATTTTGAGTTTGATACTGATTCGTCTGAAACTGACTCAACGGGAGATATGCACCAAATACAACGATCTAAAGCAGATGCTATTATTTCTCATTATCTAGCAGATCAAGATAAAGATCTATCTATGCTAAATAGATACCCTGAAATAAGAAAGGTTTTTAAGAAATATAACACGCCTCTGCCATCCTCGGGTCCAGTTGAAAGACTTTTCTCATATGCAACTATGACCAATTCACCAAAGGCACATAGACTTTCAGATGAAATGTTCGAGAAGAGGGTTTTATTGAAATCTAATTTAAACCGCATATCATAAATCACAAATATGTTAATTATTTCAAGAAATAATTTTCTGAAACAAATAATCTGAGTGCCTATTGCAATTTATGAGTCTGATTAAAAAATAAAGAAGATTTATCGTTATATAATTTGTTTTTATTTTTGTACTAGCTTTCCGCCCGCGGCTTCGCACGCGTGGATTACTAGATTTAAGCGAATATCAAGATTCCTGTTTTATTCCACGAGAGCATTTAATCGAAATAAAAAGTAACCTATTATCTAAGTCACCTAATACCCTATCTGTGTACCAAATTTCATCAAAATCCGATCAGTAGTTTCGGCGTGATTGACGGACAAACATCCAAACAAACAAACTTTCACATTTATAATATTATGATTCTTTTCAGTGTTCACCTTTATTAATCAAATATAGTAATCAAGATTACGATTACAGATTAATAATCATTAATCATCAAAGTAGATTACTTTTTTGACTATTTTTTGTAATCATTAATCATGATTGAAGATTACACATTCTAATCATAATCTGTAATCCTTAATTTGATTACATTTTGCCCAACTCTGCCCAGTGTGGATTGGTGGGTATTAGCAACTGCAGATGCAACCAGGATCAATGACTTAATGCGCTTGTCAAAGAAAAAAGTGTAATAATAAATTATTGGTTACACTTCTGCTGTTGTGATTTGTAATAAATGTGAATTTGCCTTTATTTTTCAGGTGGTTCTCTTTCTAATACAAACCTTAAATAAAAAACTGGTTTATGAGTTACTTTCGTCTCGCACCATAGCACTAAATCATTATATTAGTTTCCTGCAAAATGAAGGAAAGATAACTGAATTGACAGATCTGTTAACGTAAGTATTAATTATGTTCGAAATGATTGATATGAATAAATTATTATTTGATAGTACATGGTATTTATTCAACTACCAAGTTGCCAGATATGGAATTACTGGACGAAGAATATTTAAAGACTAATTCAGAAAAACCCAACTACAGAAAAAAGAAATAGATTTTTAACAGAAGGCACATTTTTTGCTATGTTTGTTACCAAATTTTTATAGATACTTATATTTTTATATTCTTTTCATTATAATTGTGTAAGTAAATAAGTATGTATATTTACTATTACTTTGACTCAATATTATTATAGATTATTCATCCATGTTACCTGGCAAGCGACTGCATGCTGTCTGTATATTGAACCTAATGTCCAAAGTAATATAGTTCATATTGATTTTGCTTTTTTCCAGAATGCTAGGCAGAAGTCCGGAAGCAGCGGTGAGTGCTTTATTCTACTACATCTACGCACCTGGGTATAGACTAAGAAACACAGTGTGGCATATTTAAAACTAAATTCAGTCTTGTTAAGCCAAAAGAAGATGCCACGAATGTTTCTTCTCTTAAAAATTTTAGTGAGTCTTGCTTCAATAACCACAAGGTGTAAAATACAAAGCGTTAGTTTCCTGTCTCACCCACACTCAGCGAGGTTTAGGCGCGAGAATATTGGTGAATCGCCCGAAGGAGTGACTCTTGAATCATTCTCATTGGTTGTAATTTGATTGGATTGAAATTGACGTTGAGTTTGCAAGATTTAGCTTGCAGTTCTTCAAGGTATAATGTCTTTACAGATGTATCAGTTTCAACATTGTGTTAAGAGCCAGGGTAGCAATGTGGACGGCCTGCTGAGGAAACTGAATAACCTGATGGCTAATTACCTCAATCAGCCCGGTGGAGATACGCATCAAGCCAAAATGGTTGCCGATTATGTGAAGCTCTTGGGTGAGAAGATTTTTTCAATAAAGATATGTGTTTTTTTGCTCCGAAACTACTTAATTGATTAAAAAAAAAATCAGGAAGAAACAATACGCAGATCACAAATGCTTAGGGTTACCATATCTCAAGATATGTTCGGAGATCTCAGGATTTCGGTCTTCTCAACATCGCGTTCGGGTTTTGCAAATCTCACTAAATGTTAGGATTTTTATGATTTTTAATAGAATATAGTACATTTTAAAGTTCTCTTCAATAAATAATATACTAAAAATAACTTTGGTAGTATAATAGTTCATGGGAAAGGGGTGCCGCTGCCACCCCCGCCCCGTTACGAGTGCGACGTGCAACGAATGAGCGAGATCCACAGAGAACGAACGATAGTCATTTGACTTTTTAAAATGTTTATGTACATTTCAGAGAAAAATCTCAAACTGCAACAAAATTTCAGGACTTTTCAATGGAAATCAGGCCTTTTATCCGGACTTATGATTTTTTCATCTGGTAACTCTACATGTGCTTTAATTTATGCGGGCGAAGTCGCGGGAAAACAGCAAGTTTGTGATATAATGAGATTTTTTGCACTAGGCGAGTAGTGTACAGTGGGTTGTGCAGATGCTAACTGGGTTCAATTTATATGCGGCGCATTATAATAACGCTTACTTCTGTGATATCGACAGTAAAAATAATTAATTGGTTTTTGTTATATGCTTTTAAGATATCGTTACTGTGATGTTCCGTTTCAATTTGTCGTACATAACTTCAAACCATATAGTCAATATCATTTTATTTCGATTTATTTCGTTAGAATGGCAGAAGTTTGCTAACAAACAGGAGCTGAACAACAAATCAGCGTTGTATTGTTTAGCATATTGTTGCGCGCAACACTGGAGCGAGACGGCGGGCAACATGATGTCGCCGATGACGATATGTCAGAGACAACAGGTATATATTATAAAAGACATTTGTTTGTTTCTATAAATCAGTATATTTGTTTATTTATGAGTTTCTGATTGCGGTGTAAATCGGCATCAAATATTCTGTCCTGGCAACCCTTTCATTTCGACTAGAGAGTTGGCAACATTTAATCTGCAATATATTAACAGAAAATAATTACCATAAAATTAATTGCGGCAAAATTGTGCCTGCCGACTTTGTTTAAACGTCTTACTATATATTGTTTTTACTATAGTGTATCGTTTGTAAAAAATACGTTTCCTATGTTCAAGACGGGACACAGAACGCCTGAATATGATATGATATCAAGTCACGATTCATTTAAAAATAACACCTACTAAAAACGTAGGTATAAAATGTCTTATCCTTACTTTTATTATATAAAATTGGATATTTTTTTTGTTATTTCTTTTGTAGGGATTCCTATACATATGAAACATATTGTGTTAATATAATGACTTGTTTGTGCTCAGATACCTCCTATACAATATGACTGGACAGTCTTGAATGTTCACGCAAAGTCGGAAAAGTGGGACGTTGTCGAAACGTTATTCACAAAAAAGGTTTGTATATTTATTGTATATATAAACAAGCTCTTAGTTTTAAATTTTATAGTTAGGAGTGATTTAAACCATTGCCAAACAGAAGGGAAAACGTCAAATTGAGACGTGTTGACTTATTATGCTCGGGTAATGGCTTAGGTCTGGTTCTAAAGGAGTCCTCGTTGTATAATAAGAAGATTAGGGTTTAAGCCTTAGAGAAAAGTATATATTCAGTAGTATACTTTACTTTAAAATTTTCGAATATTCATTTCTGGAGGTAATTTTTGTACCTGGCTGGTTTTAATGAAATTTAAACTGAAGAAAAGTGAAGCTGAAGTTGGTTTATGCGTTTTCGATCCGGGAATTTTGATGTTATATATGAAAAATAATTAAGCAAGTTCGGAATATCACTAGTTACGGACGTAGCTGAAGAACTGAAAATTGCGTACTATCAGTTTGTCTCATGACCAATACTTTTGACAAATTAAATTTTTTGGAGTAAACTTTTATTGAAGATCACCACCGATAAGGGCCAGATTATAAGTATACTTTTTTTTTCGTAGGATTGGCTCGGTAGAATTACAGTGTCATCTCATATACCAATAGAGACTTTGCTAGCTCGCTTGAGCGAGTTGCAGGCGAGCAAGCGTCTTATGGCGATATGTGTCAACAAGATCACCTCCGCTGAAGACAGGCTGAGACTGGCACAGATGTATAAGGTGAGTGTTATTTTAGCTACTCTTAGTAGGGTTGCCAGATGTTCGGTATTCGTCTGGGTTATCCATAAATTTTGTATAATGTCGAGACCCGAAAAAAGAAGATATGTCCAGAAAAAAAAAATGTTAGATTCGGTAAAATCCAATTCCAAGTAGGTGTGGTAATATAAAAATATACAATAAGTTATTTAAATGTAATAATTATTATGTGATATCATAATTTACTTATTTGTTATTAATATAAAATTTAATTAATAAAAAGTAGACCTTTTTAAATTTTGCCCAGATATTTTAGTCTCCTCACCTGGCAACCCTAAATATATAGGCGTTGAATAAAGGCCCGCAGGCTTACTCTTGAAAGCTTTGTCATAATTTTCATCAAATCTTAGGCGACCCGTACACGTACAATAATATTGCGCATTGTTGATGATTGCACAATATGATTGATGAGCTCCGAAATCCACACGATACAATAAAATTGAACAAGCATTCTCGTCATAACTTTCTTAAGTGCACCATGTCTGATAAAGATTTAGCTGCAGCTATCGTGTGTTGTTTAATTGTAGCAAAACGGCAAAAACGAAAACGCCGATATAATTGAATGCACTCGATAATGAATTCTCGTTCCTTTTCTTTCGCTGAAGTTTTTTGTGCCATTTTCACTGTAAAAATACACGCGTGCGTACGCGACCGCTCCGAACTGTAGACTTAAAAAATATTGGGCAATATACCATACACAAGACACAATAAATAAATATTGTGCAATAAAATTTAAAAGTCCTCAATCGTTTACTCAATCATTGCGCAATCTTCAATACTACCCCTATATGTTCAATAATATTGGTTAATCATCAACATTGCGCAATATTATTGTAGGTGTATGGGTCGCCTTAGCTTGTACTCTTGAAAAATAGACTCAATACTTACTCAATGTCAATAAGTTAATTCAATAACCACACAACATTGAACCGATTGGCGCTAGTGTACCAAATCATGAGTACGAAACGTCACAATTGCAATGCTGCAAAGAGGTGCAATTGCATCTCTGTCCTGGAAGGAAGTACACAGAAAATTATATATTTACCCAATGAAACCAGCGAGTGATTAATGCTTTTCGAGAGTATGTATAGAGTATGTACAAGGTCTCCCGCCGTAGATTTACGAACCGATGGCGTCGCTCTCGACTTTCACAAGTGCTTGTAACAGCCTAGACTGAATAAATAATTTTGGTTTTATGTGTATTAGTCTGGGAATCGACAAACTATCGTTTATTTATAAGTCTTTTTGTAATTCCAGAATATATTTTTAAGTCGCCTATTTGTCAGTTTTTTGTGATCAACGGAATAAAGGAAATCATTGTGCTTTCGTCATATATAGAATTAGAAAAAAAAATTGCCATTGAAAACATCCTTATCTGTCACTCACAGACAGAAGGAAAAAAAAAAAACTATTCGTAAGAATGAACATGACACTTGAAGGTCCATTCTATTTCTCCGAAATGTATTTTTAGATTATTTATGATTCAACGGAAGTAGGATTGGACACTGCCTGTGATGCACAGATAATCTTCACGAATATGATTTTATTAAAATTTCCGAAGTTTGTTAGAGGGCAAAAATAATAGTACTATATTAATTCGAACGAGTGATATATATGTTTTCGTTTAATAACAAGTAAACAGACACATAAAATCAGACAAACATATAAAAACAGCTAAGGGTAACTTCTTAAAACCACGCAGGTTTGAGTTGTGTTACTAGTTTTTATTGGATGGGATGTTAAAAAGTTTAAAACAACATATTATAAAATCAAAACTTCATACACGCAACTTTGTTGATCTATGTCTTTACAAACATACATTTTTGGTTCTATATTTATATTAACAGTATGATGCAAAAAAAAGGCTCACGAGGAAAATGTTATTACAATTTAAACATTTCTGAATTTTGCATGTTTATTATTATCAACTGAATAATAATTGTTAAGATCTTGTAACACCTATTCTTAGCAAATAAATACTTTGAACTTTGCAAACGCACCTCCCTGAAAATAATCCTATCGGCCGCCATATTGTTAGATTATAGCTTAACTAGTTGTTTTCCCCACTTCACCACACAACGCACGTCCAGTAGGGTCATTCTGCTAATTTACCATCTCGCTAGAATCTTAACTACTTACTTTTAGCCATCGCACCATCTACCTAAAGTCCAATATTATTAAATGTCATAATTGATGTGTGAGGAAGATTATTAAGAAAATTTAGCGTCAGAGTAAATTTAAGCAAAAAAACTGTAAAAGTATTAGTCCAAATTCATATACAGAGAATAAGCAAACCTAAGAGTAAATATCCCCATAGAGCCTCGTATTAAGTTAACCTTTGCTTAGTTTCTGTTTAATAACAAGATTTTTGACTAACACTAAGTGCAGTCTCAGCGTAAATTTACTCCAACGATAAAGCTTGTTTATTAATAACACTGTAGATGGATAATCTAAGACTAACACCCGGTTTCTGAATTGAAGAATTTAAAGCTAAGTACATCTCAAACCGCACTTAAGTCATTTCAAAAGTAATTTAAATGGGTTTTCGTTTCTGATTTTAATTTCTTTAATAATAAGTTGATAACAATTTGATAAAACTTGGCTTCTTTGCCATGTTAAACGTAAAAAACTTAAGTTATTGACAATAATCAGCAGAGATTTTGAAATTTTCTCAATTCAGAAACTGGCCGTAAGACTAGCTTTAAGAACTACACAATTGGCATCTGATTAGGAATAATGTAAGTTTTTATTTTACAAAAAGTTCCCGTTCAGACAACTATTTTTATATTTTTCAATGTTTCATACATTTAAAAAATAAAAATGGTTATCTGAAGTTTTTGTCCCCAAAATCCAGGATATGGTGTCCAAGAACAGATCTTCGTATGTACTATTATTTCCGACTTTCCCACGCTGTTGTGATGTTATCTAATATTAAATTGTAATATTCTTAAACGATAAAAAATTAGTTTCTTCGGTTATATGATAATTGAAATCTTGTTATTGAAATAATAATTTATTTTTAACAGATAGAGACAGTTGTGATCGAGACGTTGGCCAAGCAGAAGGATAGGATAGCATTGACCAACTACAAAATGACATTAAGTCCACAATCGGAAGTGTTCATACTCGCTGAAAATACATTGAGAGATCCTGTAAGTAAATTTATCAAACAATGCCCTGTGCGACTGAATTGTTCACCATCTCTGAAGTCCCGGGTCAATGTAGAAAATTAACTTTTCTTTATTGTCTCGGGTCTGGGTGTAGTTTATCTTCGTACCATATAAAAACATTTTATTCTCACTTGTTATGGTTTCTCCCATAATCATCTAAATCAACATCTAAAATCAACTGAAAAAAAATTACATATGCCGTGTGTACGTACATTGAGGTCTATATTATTAAATATAGTACTATGTGTAATATGTCGAGCTTGGAACCTTTTCTTTTTGCTACACAAATAGCACCGGCTCAATGAAACTTGGCGCCATTGATAAAACACCGGAACGACCCCAAAATGAAAATTATAACGAAATATGTAGATATATATACCGACTAAAGAGTGTTTTTTTTTTACTTTTGAATACAATTTTTATAGGTGAAGTAGGGTAGATGACTGGGTAAAAAAGAAATTTTTATTAGGCCGTCAGGCAGATATTAGGTAATTTTTTACTTTAATTTAACAAGAAATAACTTAGATAACAGGCATTAAAGTTAACGAGTGGGGGCCCGCTACATTACAGCTTCGTAGAAAATGTACAAAAGCGTGACGTCATGTGCTATTTTAACTAAATGTATCGTACCTTATCGATTACGGAAAAAATAAAACAATACGAATTTAATATTCTTCAACAATCTTACGGCCAGACAAAATAAAATTTTGTCATCGTCCTTAAAAGAGCAAACATAATCAGTTTGTCAGCTGTGTCGCCCCCTAAATATGGTCGTCTTAGGCAGTTGCTTAGTTTGCCTATATGTATAGGCTGGCGGTGTTACACGTAGACATTTAGTTGTGTACTAGTTCGTTTGTTATTTTTCATGTGAATTTACCACTTCCGTTTATGTAATTGTGTATAACAAATGGTAATAAATGTTCTGTCGTAAAGTTTTGTAGCACCAATGAAGTAGGCAGACCTCTGTTAGTAGAGAAGTTCTATGCGAAGCCGGGTCGGTACAAAGTCCACAATGTACAGTGTCGGTACCGAATTAAGCCACAACACAACACTACTAATCTGTGACTTTAGTTTTATATGTCAGTTTATGTTCATACTTAAAAATATGATCAGTCAGAAGCGTGGCTTATTTTATTTCTTGCATTATTTAACACTGACTTGAAAAAATAATTAATTGGCTCTGAACCATAGCGAGGCCCCCAATTGCGTGGGGCCCGTAGCCAATTTTACTACGTGGCTAATCCGGCACTGTACACTGTGACGTACAGCCGTGTGTACTATCAGACCGAGCCAATAAAAGGTTTATGTTTTATTTTACTGATAACAGAGATATTACTTCTATAAATTAACATTGAAAGTTAAGTAAAAAATATAGAATATAAATAATACGTTCACCTATTAATTGCCTTTTTTGTTTCAGTCTATCAAATGGAAGAATTGAAGAAATATTAAATTATGTGTAAATATAAAGTTATTACAATGGATAAATTAGATTATATAATAAATATTTATATTTACAATAAATACGTTTTTGTTTATTATTTAACGTCATCATCAGCGTTTAAATGCCCCCATTGCTTTTCATGAAAACGGAAACTAATATGGAGAATTGGTAATCCATAACGCAGCCCCAGTTCGGATTGGTGGGTGTTAACGACAGCAAATGCAGCTGGGACTAAGGATGGAGAGGTTATAAATAATACGTTGTCGGTCACCCATCTTATGACCGGCTATCGTGAAAGTTGCTCCATATCGGCATCACAGACCGATTGTAAATATCACACCGTAGTAATAAGGTAATGTCATCTAATAAGGCCCAATGTTTTTTACCACTGGAGTGCAAAAACCTCAACCTTGACGAACGTTTTTTAACCTGCCTCTGCCTTTAATATTCAGTTGATGTAGGACTGTAATTGAAACGCATTCTTGTTCGCTATTTTACATCCCAGCTGTCTTAACAAGCGGGCCTTATTAGGCGAAATTACCTTATATTTGAATATCAATTGTCCAATAGACATTATAGGCCCTATAATGTTGGTAAAGGTGACAATACCCTATATTATAGGGTATAGGTGACAATAACCTATAATATAGGATATTGTCACCCAGGGCTGGATCTAGGGGAGGGCAAGTGGGGCACTCGCCCAGTGCGCCAGTGTCAAAATCATAATAGGCTACGTTAGGGCAGACATCATTGCAAAACTACGTAATATAAAATCTGGTCTCAGGAGAGGGGTGGAGGGGGGAAAGACTCAATATGAAATTTTATCCGGTTAAAAAAATAATAAGGCCTATTGTTTTAGACCACTGGAGACGGATGTATTCAGGTTTGATTATTATTACTGTAGCGGTCAAAATCAGTAGACGTCCAATAAGGCGACAGCACCTTATGTTTTTTAACGTCTTTTAGAGATAATAGAATGAGGGTCTTCATTGAGGACAGCATAATCGGACTAAGTAAACTAGTTTTCTATTTGAAGCATTGTTGTAGCCATGCGGGCTTTATCCATCTTAATCTGGACAATAAGTATTGTATAATATGTATAAATCAGACGGGAGTTTGTATAATTCAATCATAGTCTAAAATAAAGTCGGTTTCCGTCGTCTTAGAACTTTAAAATTACGCAACGGATTTTGATGCAGTTTTTTTTAATACATAGGATGATTCAAAATGAAAGTTTTTATGTATAATACAAGACCACGCAGGTTAAGCCGTCGGCGGAAAGCTAGTTACTGATAAGCCTAATGTGTGTGACTTTTCCGGCCAATATACATAAATAAATAAATAAATATTTAACAACATCACATACATTGCTCAGATTCCAAGATGAGTAGCTAAAGCCCCGCATTATGGAGTATCTGAGACAACAAAGGTACCACAACACCTAGACCCGAGTCAATATAGAAAAGTTCATTTTCTACATTGACCCGACCGGGAATAGAACCCGGGACCTCAGAGATGGCGACACCTTGAAACCGGCGTGCGAACCACTCGGCTACAGAGGTTGTCAAAACAGAACATATATCTATATTCTATAGTAATATTTTATTGTTTGTTTGCATCGAATAAGCTCCTTAACTACTGCCCTGCGATCCTGTGAAAATCCAAACCCTATTTTCTGATTCACTTTAAAAAGCGGCATCCGCTCAACCTTGAATTGATAATAACGTTTTATGGCATAAGTGAAGTGAGTTTCGAAATGACATAGGAATAGAATATCTGAGACACGTATACTCAATCAATTTTATTTTTATACAAAAAAAAAACAGAATTCTTCACTAAAATGACGTACATTCGGTTCGGATTTTTTACAGAATCACGGACTAATTTTATAAATTCTTCAAGCCCCTTACATTGTACTTACATTGTACGCGGTTGACATAGGCTATGATTTACCCCTGTGAAGTCGCGGAACAGTTAGTTATGTGTAGGTACTAGTTAAATTATTCTATCACAATTCGAAATTAAATTTTGTGTTGTATCCAAAATGTAACAAGCTTGATCTCGACAGGATTGCTTTTTCCAGGTCTATTATTAAACTCTGGATGCATATCTAATTATGCGATGTCCTCTGGTAACTTAATAAAAATTTAGACATCTTTTTATTTAGGCAAAATTTAGACATCGAGTTAGCTCCACGAAGTTACAGGGGTTCGAAAATGATGGCCGCCTCGAGAATAAGATGGTGCAGCCGTGACCATTTTTGATCTTTTGCTAGACTTGGTAGATTTACATTATAAAATTAAAAAATACATTTTATTTTTAGTAAAAAGTTAATTAAAAAAGTTTTTCGGCGTTTATGTAACTTATCTCAATATTGATGTCTCAATAGCAGCCAAAGTTATAATTGCTTGATAATTTTTTATAGCTTACATTATTATTATCTAAGATCTGTCTTGCTTGCTCGGTCAGCGAAAATAAATAGGTTTGGATCCCGCCGCGGACATCGCAAACTCTTTTTTTTATTTATTTCCTATAAAGTGAAGTAGGTATAGGAAATATACAGTGAACTTGGTATTTTAGACTATGACTTCGGTATCTCTTCAATAAAACACTTCATTAAACACAAACATATTTACTTAAAAGAAACCTTAAACCTAGTTCATAAAATAATATAATATTATCAAGCTGCTTCTTCGTCTCCACCACAGCAACACTGGTCTCCGACGTCCACGCCGCACATCTTCAGTAAGTAAACAAACAGCGTGATGCAGCAAAGAATCCTTAATATCTTGCCACAAGGTCCACAATCGCAGTAACAGCACATCGTAAAAAACACGCGTTTGTACTCAAAACAGAAAATTATTTATCAAATATGAAATGGTCGTTTGAGTCACGTGAACGCAACCCAACTGATTTATCTGTCGTGACATACTCCATATCTATCGTATTATCTACCTTGTAAAAGATTATTGTCATACTGATAAATATTATGTCGATTTATTATGATTCGTAATGTGCTCGCAATAAGGATTGCAGTTGTAAAAATATTAAGAGAGCGTTATCTCTTGTATTTTGTGACTCGTTTGAGGCTGATTCATTGTACAGGTAACCGGATAGGTTATATGTTAACCGCAATGAAAGGGTGTGTGTTTTTTTATTATTATTATTATAGGGAATTCAATTTTCTTTCGCCGAATTGGCAATCTATGACTTGATATAACTTGAACTAGATGTAACCCGTGGCTTCGCTTACGTTGTCCGAGGGTACTGTGTACACTCTGGCCTGCTGTACTCCAATACGGCAGTACAGCAGGCTAGGAGTAGGAATACTCCAATATTAAGCTAATCGTAATTAAAAATCTGCCAGTAGGTAAGCATCCTTTTATCATCATCTTTGCTTGCCAGCATCCTTACTCCTAAGACGTAGGACTGCCCAATAGATGGAACTAAATAAGAAGCTACTGTTTCTGTGAATAACGTGCGCGTTATGTCTTCATATATAAATAGTCAAGTTGCTCTTTCCATTTTAGTGCGCAGTAGAATCAACACGCCTTGCAAAACATACAAACAAATATTTTGTTTGAAACAATAGTCCTCTTATTGAAGCCTTAATAATGACGTCGTCATTTTGCTTGGATCTGAAATGTTACATTTGAATAAAACAAAACAAATATGTAATGTAATATATAGATTAGTGTCCGAGGTTGGAGGCGCCATTTACCGATGTTTCAGGTCCACAACCTAGTTCGGTGATGGATGCTATCATAAGCAAGGTGTATTTTAAATAATTACTATATAAATATATTTTTGATAAGCTTTGTACGTAACTTCGATAATTTATGATCAAATAAATATTATTATTATTATTATTCCTGTATCCATAATTTACTCTTCCCGACCCCTCGCGACGATTCGAGGGGTGGGAAGATTCCCCCCGGCAGAGGAGACCAGATGGCCGGGGGTCAGGGCGACAAAGAGAGAAAACGGCGGACGATCCTTGCGTTATCGAGCAAGATCGCCCGCTGGAGCCTCGCAATCATTGGTCCGTCACGGAGTCCCAACCTCTTCAGATGGTCGTGAAGAGAAGTTGGGATATTATTATTATTATCTAGATATTTGACTACTGTGCTTATTTTGGAGAGCTCTCATTTTATGGGTTTTAAACAGTCTGATCCTTTGCTGGTTTCAACATCTGGGGCGCGACCGCCTAACTCATAGACGTGGCCGTAGTCGTAGCTATAACCTACGCTTCATAGGTTTTACACATGAATCTGTTGATATTGTTTTAAAATTAATCATTTTTTATTATTTACATATTTAATCAATGCTTTTGGTTGTTTTTGTTTGCTGAATTATTAAAGTGAAACGAAATTTACATAATGTCGAACAATGCTATTTCGAAAAGAAAAACAAACCAAAATGTTTGATAAAATATATAAATAGAATAAAAAAATCAATTTATTTTAAAAGAATATAAACAGATCCCGTTATATAAATATCATCATCTAGCGAAAAAAGCTAATTGTAACATTTTATTTTTACACCCGATTAAAAATTCCCTATTAAAATTTTTATTGAATAAATCGCAACTTTGAAAACGAAAGCTACTTTGTTTTATCAAAATCCAAAAAAAAACAAAGCTTACAAACATAACAAAATTAAAAATCTCCTTTTAAAAGTACAGTAGCGTCATCTAGTGGTCAGTAAAGTCAGCTAAATGTAACATTTTCGTGTACTTAACCAACATAACATATGCATTTAATATGCGACAAAGATTGCACGGATTTGAATTATTCAAAACATTATTTAATCCTGCGTAAACAGCATACATCATATAATAATTAATTTGGAAAAGCATGACATGGAATATAATTACAATTACAAATTGTATTGTAAACAAATACAATATTTCTATGGTAACGATTTAATGCCCTATACGAACTTCCATTCCCAATTTCAACCCTTTGTGTGTTTTTTTTTTCGGGATAAGATACATG